CTAAACTGTTTCCCACTTTTGACGGGAAGTTCCTGGAGAACATTACGCTAATATTCTTAAGGATAACCCAGTCAGGTAACTGAGAATAATATCCGAACCAGTTCCGCAGAGGAAGCTGGGGGTGGACGATTTATGTAACGGGAAGTTCCCAAAACCACAGCAATGTAATAAATAAGAACTCCCATTCAAATTCCCACCGTGTCTGTGTACTCAACACTCTCTTTGTTAGAGTCTGGACATAAAACCCGCCATTGGTCAAACCTTCTTACAGTTAGGACCACAGTCAAAATCCCCTCTCGATTCCTCCAATGAACGAGAGGTCCACTTTCAAATCGAGCGATCAAACCTTCCTACAGTTAGGATCACCAAATTCTATCAAATTCAAACTTCCGCTATGTTCGTGCACTCAAAACTTTCATAGTTAGAGTCCGGATATAATCTGGTCAAACCTTCATACAGTTAGGACCACAACCAAAATCCCCTCTCGATTCCCCCAATGAACGAAAGGTTCACAAATCGAGCGATCAAACCTTCCTATAGTTAGGCTTGTCTCAAACCCCACTGTGATTTGTATGAGTCAACACTCTCGTTGTGATTTGTACTCCTACTCTCACTGTCTACTTGGTCAAACCTATAAAAGTTAGGGCCAAAGCCAGAATCCCCTCTCGATTCCTTCCATGAACGAGAGGTCCACTTTCAAATCGAGTGATCAAACCTTCCTACAGTTAGGGTCATCTCAAACTCCCGTTTGGTCAAACCTTCCTACAGTTAGGACCAAAAGCACAATTCACTCTCGATAAACGAAAAATTTATCTTTAGTTCGGTAATCAAACCTTCCGACAGTTAGGGTTATCCGAATCTTTTCGATTCTCGGAGTGGAGATCCCACTCCTAGTTTCACCTTTTCGGATTCTGGGGGTGGAGATCCCACCTCGAGTCTCCTTTCTAACTGGAGATAGAATATAAAATTCTTCCTCTTCAGTTTTGGGAGATAGAATATAAAATTCTTCCTCTCCCATTTTGGGTTCGTCTTTGCCCCAAGAAAAGATACCACTTTTTCAACTCCTAAAATCCGTACCTCACAGGTACGGAGAATTTTATCCCGAATCCTAAGTAGACCAGAATCTAGTCTGGGGTATTTTATCCCGAAGCCTAAGTAGGGATAGGTCAACGCCTAACACGCGTTGCCGGTTAGTTTTTGACCGTAAAAAGGACAAAAGACCACATATTCAACATTATGGCAGGTTGTTATTAATAACACCATAATCCGTGCCTCATACGCACGGGGAATTTCATCCCGAAGCCTAAGGAGCGATGAGTCAGCGCCTAATACGCGTTGCAGGTTAGTCTTTGACCGTAAAAAGGACAAAAGACCACATATTCAACATTGTGGCAGGTTGTTATTAATAACACCATAATCCATGCCTCACACGCACGGGGAATTTTATCTCGAAGCCTAAGCAGGGATAAATCAACGCCTAACACACGTTGCCGGTTTAGTCTTTTACCGATTGAAGAAGACACCAGAATCCGAGTCTGGGGATTTTTATCCTGAATCCTAAGTAAGGATAAGTCAGTGCCTAACACGCGTTGCCGGGTAGTCTATTCCCGTGAGAAAGACGAAGTCTATGTATTCAATGTCGTAGCACTAAAAGAGTTAACTCTTTTAGCACAACGTTATGTGCAGAACGGATCTAAACAATCTGCATGCTAGCCCGACTCAAACGGTAGTCGGTAAAGGCTCATCAAACCCGTTGATGGCTGAGAATTTGCCAAAAATTCTATAAGTACGAGTCATCGATGCATCAGCTCTGTTAGTTGGTCTCGTGACTCGATTATCCAACAACATTAAAATAAGATCCACAAATGCAGATGAATCAGCTTTAACAGTTGGTCCTGCAGCCCCGACATTTGAGACCGCTATGCTCCAATACCTTAAGAGCTTAAACTGTGTATACTCCAGCAAACGTACGAGTATAAACTGTGTTAATGACGATTCAAAACCCTAGGGTCAATGCCGGTCAATGCGTAACCCTAGGTCAACGCCAATCAACACGTTACGACCAAAAGTCAACGTTCGACGATTCAAAACCCTAGGGTCAACGCCGGTCAACGCGTAACCCTAGGTCAACGCCAGTCAACGCGTTGCGACCAAAAGTCAACGTTTGACGATTCAAAACCCTAGGGTCGACGCTGATCAACGCGTAACCCTAGGTCAACGCCAGTCAACGCGTTGCGACCAAAGTCAACGTTCGAGGATTCGAAATCCACACGAGTCAACGTTCGACGATTCGAAACCCTAGGGTCGACGCTGATCAACGCGTAACCTTAGGTCAATGCCAGTCAACGCGTTGTGACAAGAAGTCAACATACGGTGATCTGAAACCCTAAGTCATCACAAGGTGACAGAGACAGTCAGTTCAATGACACGAACCAAACTCAACTCACTGGTGGTAGACTCGAGACTCCGACGACGGCCAGGCGATAAACACAGCGCCGGAAGAATTTCGGTTATTCGTCAAAGCATCGAATAGACCGAAAATCGAAGGAGCCAAGAGTTGAAACTAATTACAGGTCCTTTACGCCGACTGAAGGCTGGACCAATCACATCCAAAGTATTCCAGCCTCTTCTATAAAAGAAACGAGTCCGGAACGCTTTGGAGGGGGTATCTGTAGGCATCGAAAATTGCCCATAGGTCTCCACGAACAGTTCAGTGTTAAAGAACGACGATGAATGTCACTATCTGATCCATAGGAGTTCGATTGATGTCGATGAACGATTGAAGCAAATCGACAAACTACGAAGGCACGGGCTAATTGGGAACCCTGCGGTGTTTACAAAAGGAACAACGCCCTCCATATTTCGTTCATCCTATAGATAATCCAACCATCAGAACGGGTAGAACTCTTCGTCAGGCTTCCAACGCACTTGGAATCACTCAAATCCGAGTTCGGACGAAGAATTTACAGCGGAAACAATCAAACATACGCAACGGAGCGTCTCAGGCTGAACTGGGACACCCGGGGTGTCTCGGGAAAGTCGAAACACCCCAGGGGTGTCTAGGCAAAGCCGAGACACCCCTGTCTCAGGCTGAACTGGGACACCCGGGGTGTCTCGGGAAAGTCGAAACACCCCAGGGGTGTCTAGGCAAAGCCAAGACACCCCAGACACCCCAAGGGTGTCTGAGGAGAGGTCTTCATCAGATTCTTCATCACCCGTGTCCGTTCCTTAGTATTACCCTTCGTCGGTAATCCTAAGAAGAGCAAATATCTCGCTTTATCCGAGATAGGCGCTCCAAGTTTCTAGATCTCCTCGCGGATCGACGAAGCTCTGCCCGATTTTTCTGGATCAGATCTGATTGCCAGGTAGTCCACGGATATCGACGTCCCCGTCACAGGCCAAAGACCCACGCAAGCAAGAGACGATAAACGGATCTTGTGTTTATTTTCAAGAAAGTTGTAATTTTTATTTTCGTTATTTAAATTCATTTGTAAACGTTTGAAGTTCTAATGAAATCAATGATGAAGGCAACTTTCGACGAAAACAGAAGGTTACACATTGGTTGTTAATGTTACGCATTTGTTGTTGAGGATAAGCATTGGTTGTGAAGGTTACACATTTGTTATGAAGGTTACGAGTTGGTTGTTAAGCTTACGGGTTTGTTGTTAAGGATAAGCGTTAGTTGTGAAGGTTACGCTTTCGTTGTGAATGTTACGTTTTGGTTGTGAAGTCTTTGAATTCTAAAAATATTTTTTATAATATTCGTTTTTTTATTTTTTTTAGCTCTTCAATTGCCTAATATTGTTGTTTATGAGAATTCACGTATTACGCGTTAGTTGTTAAGATTACGGGTTCGTAACTTAACAGTCAACACGTAATCTTAACAACCAACCCGTAACCTTAACAACCAAACCGTAACATTAACAATCAAATCGTAACCTTAACAACTAACCTGTAACCTTAACAACCAACACGTAACATTAACAATCGTAACCATAACATATCGAGCGCCTTCATCCCGGACACGGTGTCGATCATCCCAACGCTCCTCAGCCTCTTAACCCCAGTGCCCCCAAAAGGACCATCATGCCCACAAGAGCTCACCACGATCTTGGCCTCCATCATGTTTGGATCCATGCACGACTGGGTGTCGTGGTTCATCGACACCAACGCCCAGTTCGTCACGACCACTCCCCCCCGACCCTCCCATTCTTAATTATCAAATACTTCGCCGCCACCACGTTGAGCAACTTCACGTTAGGCCGCATCAGCAACTTGCTCATGATGGTGGAGGTGAAGAGGGCGACGTGCTTGATGACGACGTAATCCTCCTGCTCGTCGTAGAGGACCTCGAGCTCGTCGAGGAAGAGGTGGGCGGGCTAGCGGATGACCATGGCGGAGAAGAGCTGGTCGTCGAGCCAGGCGCCACCGCTGAGGGAGACGGACTGCTCGATGATTGCGACGTTGATGTCGGGGTTCTTGGAGAGCTCGTAGGTGCAGGAGAGGCCGTCGGTGTAGGCGTAGGTGATCATGTCGGACATGTAGCAGTGGGTCATCTCGCGGGAGACGATGGATTCTTTGATGGGGCGGAAGCGGAGGGAGGAGAGGTCGTAAGAGGCGGAGATTTGGGGGGCGGAGGATGACGATGATGGGGAGGAGAAAGATTGGGTTTTGAAGGCGGAGGAGAGCTTGAGGCCATGGAAGGAGGAGGAGAGGAGGTTGCGGTCGCTGAGTTTGGAGAGGAAGGAGGAGGTGGCCATGGAGGGTATTATGGTCTTCACGAATTTAAATCTCTTGGGTTTTGTGTTTTGGGGCTCAGAGAACACAAAGTTTACTTTTGGAGGCAAAGCACCCGTTGAAAAAGTATTGGGAGAGGGAAACACGTTTTTTTTTTCGTTTTGGGGGCTGAAAGCATTTTTCCCTTAAAGCCACATCTGCTAATACGCATAGATGACCGTCCACCACTCTTGCAAGATATCCCTGTTTCCAGACTTCCATCTTCAACAACAACTTTTAGAGGCCTGGGCCTGCAAACAAAAAAGGAAGTTAGAATTTACAGCATGGAAGATGAAAGCCTCATGCCTATCATAGACCAACCCGAACTAGAATTCTCTGTCATTCTTTAAAACTCTTATATCACTCACCTCCATTGGTCAGTAGCCACAAGCTGAAGTGAGGAGGGAAATGGCAGTTCAGCAATCTCTTGAACTCGAAGAAGCTTCATGCCAAGACGATGGACGTCTAAGGACCGGTAAGCTTAAACCTGGCTTTCTTCTTTGCCTATAGTTTTCTATGTCAAACTAAATTCCTTGAATTGATGACCAGGTACTCAATGGACTTGTGTTGCGCACATAATCACTGCCGTCATCGGATCTGGCGTGCTCTCTCTGGCGTGGAGTATGGCGCAGCTTGGCTGGATTGCTGGGCCTATTTCTATGCTTTGCTTCGCAGTTGTCACCTATGTCTCAGCCTTCCTTCTATCAGACTGCTACAGGTCTCCTCATCCGGTGACCGGAACAAGAAACTACTCTTATATGGATGCTGTCAGAGTTAACTTAGGTAGTTTACTCTCTTATATTGGACGATATACACGAGTCTGTCCTCAATTAACCCTTTACTTTATCATTTGATCTGTTTTAGAATAGTACCTCTAACTTAGCTTTTGTGGTGGCTCAGGTGAAAAGAGAACATGGGTATGTGGCTTTCTTCAGTATCTAAGCATGTATGGGACTGGTGTTGCGTATACTATCACCACTGCAATTAGTATGAGGTACTTACGTTTTATGAGTATTATTGGTACTTTTAGTCAGTAAAAGAACTAGAACAGCCTTAGCATTCATGATTCTTTTGAGTGACAGGGCAATTCAGAAATCCGACTGCTACCATGAAGAAGGGCATGATGCCCAGTGCTCGTATGCAACTACTTTGTTCATGCTGTTGTTTGGAGCTGTGCAAATAGTGTTGTCTCAGATACCTGATTTCCACAACATGGAGTGGCTTTCCGTTGTAGCGGCGGTCATGTCCTTTTGCTACTCTCTCATTGGATTTGCTCTTGGCATTGCCAAAGTGATAGGTAATGGTACTTTGCTAAGTAAGGCGGTTTATGAACTTTCTTTTAGTGCAAGTGATGAGAGAAAAGACTAGATATTTGTTTTGGTGGTACTTTCTTTCCCCCTCTTTTAATTTATGTTGCCCCTCCTTTATGTTGTTAAACTACATGTCTTAACATGTTAATGGCAATCTTTAAGATCTTGGTGAAAAATAGAAGATAAAGATAGTGGAGTTAGTACATAGCAATATTGATGAAAGCGGAATAAAGGAGAAGCATTGGAACAAGCTTCGATGAAGAAACCTATGGCAACAAGGTCATGTGAACTCTTTGTTGGTAGTTATATGCATCTTAGCATGTGATGTGCCAGATTTTATTGATGACCTCGAAGTGAACTATCAGAACTCATATTCCTTCATACTAATGCAAAATCAACGAAGACCTCAATTTACATCTCAAATCTTGATTATATCAGCAAAAAATGGTTTATGAAGACCATGTAAACTATGATATATACGCAGAAGAGATTATGCTCCTTGAAATTTTTAGATTCTGAATTACACTGTTATTTCAGCGAATGGAACGATAAAAGGAGGACTGGGAGGTGTTCCTGGTGGGTCAAAATCTCAGAAAGTGTGGCTGGTTTCTCAAGGATTGGGAGACATAGCATTTGCCTATCCATACTCATTAATTCTACTAGAGATACAGGTAATAGTTCAATCGATAGAGATCATCCATTGATAGATAATTCATAATCAAATCCTCACCATTTTCTCCGAGTGAAGGACACCCTGAAATCACCACCAGCTGAGAACAAGACTATGAAGAAAGCGTCAATGATCTCCATTTTTATGACCACATTCTTCTACCTCTGCTGTGGCTGCTTTGGCTATGCTGCATTTGGTGATAACACACCTGGGAACATTCTTACTGGATTTGGTTTCTACGAACCTTACTGGCTTGTTGATTTCGCCAATGCTTGCATTGTTCTTCACATAGTGGGAGGATATCAGGTAAACTTAACATCAATGACAATTCAGTAAATATCACAAATAGTGAACTTTAAGGGGAGTTTGCACAAACCTCCTGAACTTGATAAATCATAGTAAACCTTCCAGAACATGTTTCACTCAAGTACAATTACTGATGACAGTTACTTTTATAATACTTTTTCCGGGTAAGGGAGTTTAGTTTTTTTTTTAAGCCTGGTAATGTGGTTTATGGGGGATTAGAATAAGTTTGAAAATTCTGGGAGGTTTTCAATGATTTATAAAGTTCAGGAAGTTTTGTGCTCAGGGTGTTCGTATGAAACCTGTGAACATATCCCGTTAAAATTTCTAACTCTCCTCCTCTTTTATCAGATGTACAGCCAGCCAGTATTCGCGTTTGTGGACAGATCCTTTGCAGAAAAGTTCCCCAACACCCGCTTCGTGAACGATTTCTACACTGTTCAAATCCCTTGCTTGCCATCATGCAGATTGAATCTCTTCAGGTTGAGTTTTAGAACGTTGTATGTGGTATCGACAACGGGGATAGCGATGCTCTTCCCCTATTTTAATCAGGTGCTGGGAGTTCTTGGCGCAATGAACTTCTGGCCTCTGGCTATTTATTTCCCTGTGGAGATGTATTTTGTGCAGAGGAAGATCGGCGCATGGACCAGGAAATGGATCGTGCTTCGGGGTTTTAGTTTCGGATGCTTGCTTGTGAGCGTGTTCGCTTTGATCGGATCACTTGAAGGACTTTTCACTCAGAAGTTGAGCTAATGCCTAGTGTCATGTTTTTGGTGGGCATATTTGAGAAGAGCAGATGAGCTCTTAAAATTGTGTGTAAAGTCTGAATAAAATTTTATGGGCTAAATATCCATATTGGTATTTTAATTCCACCACATTTACCAAGAAGTTATTTTAATTAGGCAAACCTATTTTAAGGCATTTTAATTGATTCAACTTACCAACAAGACCATTTTTCTCGTCGGCGACCAGTTTTCCGGCGGGAGCTCGTCACGTGCGTGGCACGTGATGATTTAAACTGTTTTTTAGCTGCTGATGTGGCACGGATTTTCTGACGTGGCAGTGTTTAAAGGCGGGAATTAACCCTCTAAAAATCCCAATTCACCCAAAATAAGACAGATCTGTACCACATCAGCAGCTAAAAACAATTTAAGTCATCACGTGCCATGCACGTGACGAGCTCTCGCCGGAAAACTGGTCGCCGACGAGAAAAATGATCTTGTTAGTAAGTTGAATCAATTAAAATGCCTTAAAGCAGATTTGCCTAATTAAAATATCTTTTTGGTAAATGAGGTGGAATTAAAATACCAATATGGGTATTTAGCCAAATTTTATGATTTGCAAAGTTTTCAGACCTTTCTTTGGTGAGAGGGGCTACTTTAAATCACCCTGCACGTCATGCTTTTACGGCCGTCACCGTTTAACTAAGAAGTTTTAGAAGGCCATACAAAGAGGAGAAAGCTAAAGCCCAAGAAAGAAAGCATTGTCTCGGTCCTATTAGAGCCCAGAATCTATTGATCAACACGAGTTGTAGACTCGTGGTTGACTAACAAAATAAGTACGGGTATTTGTACATATACCCCTCCCCTTAAGTCATGTGTATCATGCAAAACTACCTCTCGAATCTTAGTATTCGTGAACTTACCTTTCAAATCATCAATTTTTTTTTTGGGGAGGGGGGGGGGGGGA